AAGCCTTCTGGAACTTTATAAAAAAAATCAGAGGCACCACTCCCACCAACAAATTCAAACACATCACCCGCAACAACACACACATCTCAGACCCGCAGGTTGCTACTAACATCTTCAAAACACATCTGGGAGAACATCTTCCACCCTCACCCACCTCACCCTAATGCTGTTCATCACATTCAGAACATAGAACACTGGAACACTACACACACACAAGAAACAACACCAGATAGCCACATCCATCTGGACTCTCTTACCTCCTCCCAAGAACTCAACACTCCTTTCACCAACACAGACATTAAAACTCTCCTCAGACACCTTCCTCCCAAGGCTACTAGTGCCTCTGGCCTAAACTGTGGAAACTTATTCGGTCCTAAAAAGTTCCACAGGGCAGATATGTCATACGAAGATCCCAACATGTCACGGATGGAACGGCTGGGTTGGGTGGCCCTTACACCCACCCAAAACACACACACACACCCGGGTTGGCAAAGGTGGTTGGGAGATACATTTTAATTGATAGACTTACCCTTCAAGGAAGAAGTAGGTAGTTTATACTGTTAATGAACTAATATTAAAACTATTGAGGCAACTGTAGATAATAATAATGTAGACCTAAGACCTTAACGTAGATAGTAATAGGCCGGTAATATGGGCAGACCCTAGGTTATGTTAGCTAGGGAGAACTGGCAGCCCAAGTTTGAATGCCAAGGCACTAGGTTTTGAGACCGCAGTGCCTTCTTCTTTGTCGAAACTCTGAACGAGGCACACTGCCGTAACATCAAGGTGGCGCCCCATGTGTCTACACATACTAGGCCCTGGGGAAATCTGGTGGAGTCACCTCGAAGTACTGTAGATGACCTCCTCCGTCAGGCCCATACAGTAAGATGAGACCTCCCTTTCTTTCTCAGTATTCTGGCCAGTTTCTGGGGATAATTTGCGAGTGAGTTGAACTGTGGGTCTTTGTGCAGCTGTATGGCCAATGATCAGTACGTTCCGGCGTCTCCTCGTTGTTAAGCTTAGAAGCTAGTGTCACTTCCTGCATAGTTGTACTAGGGGATACGCACCCCCTTGGAAACAGGAATTTCTGAGGCACAGGCAGGTCACTAATACCGACTGAATATTGCAGGAATTAAGGCTCCCGGTTGCACGTGGTTCTGAGGGGAAGTCCAGAGGGGCTAAAGCTTAGGGAGGTTGAAGACCGGGATATATTCTCCAACACAAAGTTAGTCCTTTATTCGTGCATGCAGGCGATATTTTCTTGCAACATCAGTCATTTATGGAAATCTGTCCTATGAGCCACTTGTGAGGCTGAGGTACAAGCCTCAGGGCTCGGTGTGAACAGAGCTTGCTAGGGTAGACAACTCACATGGAGGCAGTCCAGACAAATTTTCACAAGTGGTCCTTCTAACCATGATGTGGAATAGCTAGGTTAAGTTAACATAGCTAGGACACAGTTAGGAACCAGAGTTTAACAGAGTTAGGTTAACACACCTAGGCCCAGAGATTTACACAGAGGCTAGGCCAAGCTGACTATACACAGAAGTTATTATTTACAGTAATTTACAGGCAGACCAGGTAGGCTAGTGAAGCTTGTGAAATTATTATTTACAGTGATTACAAGTAAACCAGAGTATTAAATTTGTGATTAATTACTTACAGTGGATTTGCAAGGTAGCTACAGTTAGGCTAGTCTTGTACAATATTTACAACAGTTATAGTAGCTAGGACAGATTTAACCTAGTTATTATTTCCAGTGAATTCTAAAGACAGGTTTAGGCTATAGTACACTAGTTAGGTTAGGATTTACCTTATCCAACCAACCATGCTAGACTGAGTAAGCTGGGCACAGTTAGGCCAAGCTGTTTACACACATTGTTTATTTACTGTTTCATAAGTTGAATTGTTGAATTTATTTGTGCTAATCAAGTGATCTTTGATTTGTATATACTGCATTTTTATTGTGTGATTTTTCATTGTCTTTGACTCATTTTAATGTGGGATTTGTGATTTGCACCAGAGACTAGCTAAAGTCCTGTAATTATTTGCTGACGTTGTACAGGAAATTGCTAGGTTAAGCTTTTACATTAATATACATTTCAGTTCGGGTTTGAGAGCTAGCAGTGTACATTTTGATTCAGAGTAGAGTCAATATAATACAGGGAGTCGTTAAGCTTGTTGAGGAGCCTTGAGACTCGTTCACTCTTGCCTAACACCGTGTCATGCTGTGGGGTGGGCTGAGTAAAGTACAATTAGTGTCGCACTCCTTATTAAACCTCGACAATGGCAGATGAGAATCCAGCAGAATCTGGTTCAGTGTTAGCATTAAAATGATCAGTGGCTGCATACAAAGGGCATCTGAAGAGAACGCGCAACAGGTGTAAGGCTACTAGTCAACGCAGTAAAGTAGACTGCGATGATTTGCAAGACTGCTTGAAGCGTTTGGGGGAAAAATGGGAAGCCTATGAACGAGCATTCTCAGCATATGGCTACAGGCTATTGAGAATGGTGAATCCCAGGACAGTCTTCGGCAGGCTCAGGACGAATTCACCAAGGATGATGTAGATTGTCACCAGGAGATGAATACGTACAAAGATAAGTTAAGCACATTAAAGGCTAGTAAGCCAAGTGAGGTGTCGAACACCGCAGGTTAACACGAGCAGCCACACACCTGTCAATATGTTGCCTAGGTTGCCCCAGTTGAATTTACCGATATTTGACGGGACCTTAACACAATACATTGATTTCTGGGATCAGTTTAAAGCCCAAATAGATGACAGAAACGATTTGTCAGATGCCGTCAAATTGCAGTATTTACGATCACAGCTCAAAGGTAAAGCCTAGGACTTGGTCCGGCACTACCAGATTACTGACACTAATTACCAACATGCCAAAGACCAGTTAAAGGACATGTTTGGCAACACTGAAGAGTTAAAGGTGGCTATACTTTATCGGTTGTTGGATCTAGAAGCTTGCTGACATGACCGTCAGAGCCTAGAGAAGTTCTGCATTGAAATTATGAGCTTGACAAATAGTTTTAGAGATTTACATGATGAGGATGATTCAGAATGGATCATTAGTCAGGTGATTCAGAGGAAACTGGCTAGCACTACAGTACACGAGTTGCATTTGAAATATCGGACAAACCGGTTCACGATACAAATTGTTGAGGGGTTGGGAGATTTCGTTTCTCATTTGAGTATAGGTGTGAGAGAAGAGTCACCACCATCATAAAAACACAGACAGTTACTCAAAGATCTCAAGAGATCAGTCTAAAGCTCATACGACTAACGTTGGAGTGTACTATGGTAAAGAAGTGTCTAAGGCAAGAACTTCTAAGCAGAACCTCAGAGGCACTCCTGCCAGAATATGCATGTTCTGCAAAGGCGAGCACACTAGCACGAGTTGCTCTGAGTATACAACACTGAGCAGTAGGCAACAGAGACTAAAGGAGTTGAGTCTCTGCTTCAAGTGTTGTGGGGAAAAAACTTTGCCTGGGGACTGACACCCAGCTCAGTGAGTGTCGAGTCTGTTGCAGAGGTAAGCACCCTACTGCACTATGTCCAATTTAAATTTAAACGAACCCCAGGCTAGTAGGGGATATCTCTCAGTAGAGGTAGAAAGCGAGTCCGAGCCTGAAATGGTAGCCAACGTGATTAGTGGGAGTGAAGTCTCTAATTCGAGTGAGAATTACAGAGGTGCTGCCCTACCTACAGTCATGGCAAAGGTTGTGAATGGGCACAGGTCCGAAACAACCCGATTATTCTTTGATCGGAAAAACAAGTATCCTTGATAACAAAGAAGTTGGTGGCCAAATTAAGGTTGAAGACCACCAGAAAGGTTAGTACGACATTGGGAGGGGCTATAAGTCGGGTCCCACCCAAATCTTATGATGATGTGGATGTCACAGCTAAATTAGGTGGACATCGCAGAGACATTACAGCCTTGGTGGTAGAGACATTACCCTTGGCAATTACAGCGAGAGGTCTTGCTGCAGCAGCCAAGCAATTGAAAGACCTTGGCGTGAAGCTGGCAGACCAGGGAATTACCACTGACAGTCAGAAATGTAGGTATCTGGTGGGAGCCAACCAGATAGATGACTTCCTGTCTACACGACGGACGTTTAGGGAAGGAATTGGTTTATACAGATCCCCAGTAGGATACATCATAGGCGGCAGGATTCCACCTGAATTCCCTGCCATGCCAGAGAGGGAAGAAGCTGTCCCCATGATAGCTGGGGGAGTAGTGATAACGAGTACCAGTATACATGATAAACCGCCAGGGAAGCTGAATCAGGTAGGGAGTGATGAACACTCAGCCACCTTGGGAAAACACTTTTATGGGGTATGTAAAGAGGGAGATAGATTGTCATTAAATCCAGGGAACCTCGTATCAGTGGGAGGAAAGGCTACCAGGACATGTGGGCCACTGGGTGGGAAAGAACGGAGTCACTCAGTCAAGGCTAGACATACAAAGGATGTTAAAGTTAAAGGAAAGGGTGCTAAGACCACCAGAACCAACAAGTTTACACCCCCAGAGGTCCATGCAGGGAAAACTGGATGGTTGAAGTTAGACCAGAGTCTGCTCGATGAGAGTGGCAGGACAGCACTCATGTCCAGGGTCCGCCGTGGCTGCTTGTGGAAGGTGAACTTGATGTAGACTTATCGCCTACCTTTGCCGGCGGGAGGATGTGGAAACTTATCCGGTCCTAAAAAGTTCCACAGGGCAGATACATCATACGAAGATCCCAACATGTCACAGACGGAACTGCTGGGTTGGGTGGCCTTACACCCACCCAAAACACACGCACACACACACACAACTGGGCTGGTGAAGGTGGTTGGGAGGTACATTTTAATTGATAGATTTATCCATCAAGGAAGAAGTAGGTAGTTTATACTGTTAGTGAACTAATATTAAAACTATTGAGGCAACTGTAGATATTAATGTAGACCTAAGACCTTAACGTAGGTAGTAATAGGCCGGTAATATGGACAGAC